ATCAAAAATCCAATAAATTTTTACCTCAAAATATACGGGAATATATTTTAATGTATTTTTTGTGCAGCAGATGCTTATGTCAATCATAGCATTGAATTAAAAGTTATGACATACAATTTTGCTCTCTCTCTCTCTCTCTCTCTCTCTCTCGTGAGAGCTTTAAATAATACTCTGAGCGAAGGATATCCCACAAAGTCTTGAAGACTCGTAGAGGTCGTCCAACTTTTTTTTGCTGCCACTTATGGTTTACACATACTCTGAGAAAAACATGTAATCGTTTCGTAAAATGCCTTACCTTTACATTCCTTCAACTTATGGAAGATTTCCATTAAGTAATCAGAGATTGATATTAAATGAACGATAACATTGATTTTTAAAGTCACCATCTTTTCCATATCATAAGCAGCTTACCTCGTGCTCTCTCTCTCTCTCTCTCTCTCTCTCTCTCTCTCTCTCGAAATGCTGTAATACGTGATATTATATGTAAATTTTAAATATGATACAATATTGTATAACTTATTTTAAGATTTATTATGTAAACTATATGTTTATGTGGAGAAATACACGTAATTACGAAGCAATGGAAATCTACGGGAATTGAAAATGATTAGGTTTTTTACAAACAATGATTTTGTCGTATTTAAAATATAATAACGTTATGTGCGATATTTTCATTGAGTCATTTTGACAGCTATTTGTATTATGTTGTCTCGCAATACAGAAATCGCATAAGAATTGGGAAATTCCGGATACCTATAAATACAATGGGGAGAGAGAGAGAGAGAGAGAGAGGTGTTTTAGAAAACACGACACCAAATAAGAAATACACGTTAAAATATATTCTGTATTTTTTAGTTGACAGAGACTTATAGACGATTGAGAGGGTAGTTGTTGTGACGTGTGTTTTATCGCTCGTAATATTTCGTAATAAATAATTATTAATAATAAAAAGGTTGTGTTTTTCGCCTCACAATTAATACCACGCTTTCGATGAATGCAATACATCTCCAATAATTTATTATTGGCAATAAACACATATATAAATACACTTATATTTCTTTTGATATGAAATATTTAATTTTAACACTAATTATTGTGAGGGAGAGACAGACAGACAGCTCTCGAAGGGGCGAATGTATCCATAAATATATACATTCAAGTAATTAATCAGTAATTTATATTCAGACACTTATTTTTGGGCCCACTTTTTGGATAAGTTTTTTTTGCAAAAGTATAAAAACCGTGGTTTTATTTTTTAGGTTATTTTCCACTGAATTAATTACCATTTAAATGAATTACGTGTTGACACCGATACTAACCTTTGAATTTTCCCGATTATTTGCCTATACAGAGGAGCATACGGTGCGCAGGATATCTGTGTTACAGCCGCCGCATCACAATCACACGGCAGCCGTGGCCGCCGCCGCCGCCTACTCGTCGCCAATCTTCACCACTAAGTCAAACCACCACTCGTTAGGCTCGGCGTCCATAACGAGCGCCACCGCCGCAGCCGTCGCTTCCCAATTGCCAATCACCATATCGTCGTCCCATACGGTGATACAGCCGGTGCTCCACTCGGGCGCCACTGTTATTGAGAATAACTATCTGTTTCGCAACAAATCGATACCGATTTGTATCGATACTGTCAACGATGGTCATCGGCCGACGCCAACCCAGATGTCCACCACTACAACACAACCGGTGCCCACTTGTGGTTCAGATCTAGTCACCAGTCGTATACCGCTTGAGATACTGCCCGCCTATTTGCCGCATCTGCAGAGACCGCAGGCAAAGATCACATTCAAGGGACCCATCGTTTTTCCGGTGCTTCAGAACCAGTTGGACAACGGAACCAATTTGGAGTTTACCGTCGATGACCAGCGATCCGAGTCTGGATACAGTTCCTCATCGCCCGAACGCAAGACCAGTGCCTCCACGACCTGTGCGTTCAAACAGGTGGCGTCACTGCCGATGACGAGCGACACTATCGGCAACACATCCGCTATCAGTAGTCATAAAGTGGACGAAACGGACGAAGAGATCGAAATACTCGATAAGGATAAGGAAAACGACAAAGAGTTGCTCCGATTGTCGTCACCAGTCAATGGCTTAGTGTTGCCGAAGACCACGGGAGCGGTCAGACCTAACACACTGTCCTTACGCACGAATAACGGCTCAAATCTGGTCAGTTCTACACTCGTCTCGCCGGACACTCCGCGACCCAACAAGACGTGCGTTCAGCTGTATATGAACGGACACGCCTACAGCGGCATCGGTCTCAAAGTGACTCCCCGTCCCGTCTATTGCACAATATATAAGACACAACCGATGTTTGTACAGCAGGAGACGGATCCCAACCTTTCCATGTACTCCAATTGGACGACGAGTCCGTTGGCGGTCGAAGACGTGATGAATATGGCGGAGGCGCCCGTCGTTCTCGGTCTATACGACTCGCGTTGCAAACACCGCACGGACTCTATGCTAGTGACGAGTGCGTCGAAGGCTGACCTCAATTCCACTCATTCCAGTTACTGGGGGTTCAGGCGATCCGACGAAGAGAAGGAGAACCTGAAGGACGCGATCGCGCGGCTCAGGGAAGACGTCGGCGAGAGTGCCGAACAACAGGCGCAGGTCTTCCGCAAAATCAGTCAAATGAGCGCCTCCTCTGCCTATACGGGCGACAGTGACTCGGATGGCGAGGCGGGCCCTCCCAAAAGGGTTCGCATATTTGAAGGTAATTTAACTTTTATTACCCGTATTTGCATTGTATTGAGTGAATGGTGCGTAACATTTGGATCCTATTTTACGCCTGTTATCCGTCTCTTTGCGACTATTAGATCGGGTTATCGACCCTTCCTTTACGAGCACTTTATTTCATACACTTATCTCCCGTACGAATGAATAGCCCTTTTCCTCCCTAACCCTCCAAATGCTATCCCATTGTGTTTCCCAAACACCAGCTCTGAATTACACCATTTGTTTGGTTCTGTCATATCTATTACCCAACACACCAGTCAGTCAGTCTCCTCTCACTCCATATCCCTCTCCTTTTAAATACCAGCACTCCTTAAGTGACATAACTGTGCGCTTAATAATAGCTCTGATATGCAAATCATATGTGAAAATATTTTCCTAATTTTTTTCTCTCTCCTTCTCTTCACTCTTCACTTCTTTCCAAATATTGGATCCAAAGTTGAAATCTGTTCTCTATTTCCTTCTCTCACTCTCTTTGCACATGAAATTCATTACAAAAATATATTCTCAATTCATTCATATTTTGTCTGTCGTTTTCACTTCACGTTTTCTGCCACTAAATTGTCGTTTACGTAAATGAATGCATACTTTTAAATGAAATTTGTGCCTCTATTTTGACAATTATGACGAAATGTACGTTTGTTTACTGCGATTATCATCACAACCAATACCACTGCTGTTTGTATTAATTAATTATGTTGTGATTACATGTGTATCGAAATCGATTACACCTATTGTTTATTATAATGTGTGGAAAAACACTTTTTTCTGAGCCAAGAAAATAGTTTTCTTATTGTCTGTGTTTTATTGACTTTTCAAAACCTGATCCTTATATCGATATCCATTTTCTTTGCTTTCCTGTAATCCGATAGCAAATCATTTGACTTTTTCCCCCAAAAAACAAGTGATATTTCCTAATATAGAAAAGAAAATACTTGCAAAAAAGTGTTTGTGTTTTAAACATGTTTTGTGTGAGAATGCAATACTTATTGTTAGTTAAGAAAATACTGGTCTCTATATTATGTGTTGCTTTCCTTTGCTTCCCGTCAAACAGTGAATAATCGAAATATTATTTGTTTTTTAAGTCACTATTTTTCTGGCAAACAATTGATGTAAGAATTTATTGGCCTTTGTTTTAGCTTTTTCTTCGACGGGAAAACACTATCACTTTTATAGTTAACTTTTAGGTAACTTTTATATTAGTTTATTATTAGTTTTCGTGTGAAGTGTTTTACAAAGAAAAAATAATCGCATTGTTTCGTAAAATACAATATAAGTGATGATTAATACGTGGAATTCTCTCTCTCTCTCTCTCTCTCTCTCATTCTTATGGTAATTGTATTGAAATGTAATTTCAAAACTCAATTTTCTGTTGCCATCAGTTTTGCCACAGAATAATGCAATGCATATAAAGTATACACGAATCTCATTATTATCTCTCTCTCTCTTTCTCTTTCTCTCTCTCCAATTCTCTATCTGTTTATTATTATATTACTATAGTTTCTATTATTACGTATATTTGCCATTCAAATGACATTTATATATATTTATATAAAGTTTTGTATTTAAACAATTCTCTCGTCTTTCAATGTGTTTTCCACTCAATTCTTCCTCCAATACTCCTCTTCACCACTACTACTGTTATACAGTATAAGTAATAGATGTGTTGTTTTACAAATGATTTCATAATTTTTTAAATAAATTGCATTTTCCAGTCGTTTCCCATAAGTCTATAAAATAATCGCAAAATTCTTATCAATTCTTTGCCGTCTGATTAGTTGTTGATATAATGAGTCAATTAAATGTGAATAATAATAAGATTCGCGTATACTTTATATGCATTGCATTATTCTGTGGCAAAACTGATGGCAACAGAAAATTGAGTTTTGAAATTACATTTCAATACAATTACCATAAGAATGAGAGAAAAGGAAAAAATGTTTAGTTTTTAGGTTAAAATTTAAATTCTGTATTTAATTATCGCAATAATTGTTATTATTTTCTGATGAAATTGTCTATTCATTCGTTGCATTCAAAACAAATTGGAAACAATTTTTTTCCACTTGTTTTCCACTCTTCAGTGTTATCATCAAAACCCATACAAACGTATTGGTAGTGTCTTTACTGCACATGTCTTGTATCGGTCCAGAGATCACATGAGATCACATGTTTTCCTCGATAAACAATATTTTAATTAATTGCTTCGTTTGAATACTGAATGTCTGAATACAGTATTAACTCCAAAGAGAGACCAAAACAATACAATTGATCGATAAAATGCTCTACAATTGACGTCACAATCAATCAATACATGCCTTTAGTGTCTTTCACTCTCTTTCGGTCAATCCTTCTCTCAAGGCTTTAAGGTTTATATTAATACTGTATTTGCGTTTACTTTTGTGTTTCACGAGAAAAAACACTACTCGATAGTGAAATATAAACTATAAATTTGGTTATCATTCGCGTAATCAGTGTTTTCCGCAAAAACTTTCCTTAAAGTCTGCCAAAAGAAAAGTCCTTAACTTTTTGTTTTGCTCAACACTACTGACGCCTCACGTATTGTCTGACACTGTATTTCGGTTTGCATTTCAGGCGGTTTTAAATCCAACGAAGACTACACTTACGTGAGAGGAAGGGGTCGCGGGAAGTATGTGTGCGAAGAGTGTGGCATCCGATGCAAGAAGCCGTCGATGTTGAAGAAGCACATCCGCACGCATACGGATCTACGGCCGTACAGTTGCCGTCACTGCGCGTTCGCCTTCAAGACCAAAGGCAATCTCACGAAACACATGAAGAGCAAAGCGCACCACAAGAAGTGCGTGGAGTTGGGCATTGTTCCCGTGCCCGTCACCATCGATGAGTCGCAGATCGACACCGACGCGCTCGCCAAACAGGAGATGATGGAGATCTCGTGCGCCAATTTGCCCGAAGACGAGGACGAAGATGAAGACGAAGGCGAGTGGGATGAAGACGAGGAGGAAGAGGACGACGAAGGTTTGTGGACAACATTTTTTGTGTCATTTTGCGTGTCTTATGTGTGGTGTTTTGTTTGCTTTCTGACAGGAGTTCCCATACCATTGATTGAATTGCAACGCATGGCTTTGCCGTCAGTTCCCGGACAGTTCGACGACGCGGACATCGAGGGTCGCGCCCGACACGTGTCGGAGTCGGGCTCTAACGCCACCGAAGCCGAAGAGCAAGAGGCGGCCCGCAGTTTATTGATACTGTCAGCCATGGGATCGGATTCCGATTTGACCGCAATTCGTAAGACATCGAGTTCTGTGAGTCCTAATCGGTCTGAAGACTCACCAGAGAAGCGAAAGGTTTCCGTAATTGACAGAAGAATATCTCAACATATCCTAAACGACGAGAAACAGAGGCGAGTGTCTCAACACATCCATGAATCTGAACAACAGAGACGTGTGTCTCAACAGATCCACGAATCGGAACAACAGAGACGAGTCTCTCAACAGATCCACGAATCGGAACAACAGAGACGAGTTTCTCAACAGATCCACGAATCGGAACAACAGAGACGAGTGTCTCAACAGATCCACGAATCGGAACAACAGAGACGTGTGTCTCAGCACATGCATGAGGCGGAAATGCAGCGGCGAATGTCTCAGCAGATAATTGAAAGTGAACAGCAGAGACGAGTCTCTCAGCAAATCCATGAAACAGAACTCCACCGAAGAGTATCTCAACAGATGATGGAAAGCGAACAACAGAGACGATTGTCTCAAATTCTGGTTCTCGAGACCGAACACCAGCCGAGAGGTATCGCACAACACATGAGTCCGATCGGCAAACCTGTGACCGAATCGGTGGCCGATTTTCACATATCGTCCGCCAAAATGAAACCACCGACAGAACCGCCGCCACCGCTCCTGTCATCGCCGCGCAAACTGTCGCCCATAGAGCAGCTCCAGCATCAGGTCCAACAGCAACAGCACCACTTACTGCAGACCACGTGGACACCAAACTGCCCGCCGGACCAGCAGTCGAGACCGCGTTCCTATTCATTCAACGACGTGCCTCTCGCGCCCTCTAATCATAACACTCATCACGTGTTTAGTCCCTCTTCACGCCTACCCATAGAACCCATCGAAACCATTAGCGAAGAGAGTAGTGACGAGTCTATGGACGCGTTCGCACTCCGGAGGTATTCAATGTCTGTCATCAACGATCGACACCCAGGGAAGCCCTCGTCGGCACACTTCCCGCCTGTGGTCGAGCGCGAAGAACCAATGGATCTCTCGTTGAGTACAAAACCGTTGGAAGTGGTGGACGGCATAGTAATGCCGCAATTCGAGACACCCGTCAACGGCTCCCTCGGCCTCAGACACGGAGAGTTCATACCGAAAGCGCCGCAACACGTGATCGCCGACTCGATTGACGGCAAATCCATTTGTTCCATCTGTTCCAAGCAGTTCTCGAAGCCGTCGCAACTCAGACTCCACGAGAATATCCATTACTTTGAGCGGCCGTTTAAGTGCGACTCGTGTGCCGTCAGCTTCCGGACCAAAGGCCACCTCCAGAAACACAAGCGTTCGGTTTCGCACTTCAATAAAGTGACCATCAATTCGACGTTCGGCACGCCTTCGTCGGACAATCCGCGGCCATTCAAGTGCGCCGACTGTAAGATCGCGTTCAGAATTCACGGCCATTTGGCCAAACATTTGCGTTCAAAGATGCATATCATGAAACTCGAGTGTTTGGGGAAATTGCCGTTCGGTATGTACGCCGAGATGGAGAGGTCGGGCGTCAACCTGAACGAGATCGACACCACCGACTGCGAGAACTCGCTCCAGAGCCTGCAGATGATGGCCCAACGCCTGTACGATCCGCGACAGATGCGCTGGGCGTCCGAACCCGTGCCCGAAGGCGGTCCCACTCCTCCCGTCGACCACAATAACGGCCACTCGTTTGACGACAACAACAGCGGCTCTCACGTGAAGGACGAGCCAAACGACGCCTTTTATCACTCATTAGAGCGCGAGAGAAAACAGACATCCGGTGTTGCGGTGACCAGTCATCAAACACTGCCACCGATGCCTCCATTACTGTCCAGCGCTCGCCTTCCGTCGCAACTGTCGCCAGCCGTACGCCAATCATCGCCACCGCAGCCAA